GGACAGGGAAAAGAAACCAAAGGGAGTACGAGCACTTTCTCCTTCACAGTCCTCTCCCTTAACCCGCTTATTCCAGCATGGGCATCCCTCACGGACCCGTGTGGGTGAGACGTGTGGCTGGAGAGAGATTTTGTCACTCGAGAGGGAGCACTCGGGGCTGTTTTCGGGCCCCTGTCTCAGCTCCCTTTCGGTGCCGGGTGCTCTGCGCTGGGCAGGTCTGTGCTTCACCAACGATCCGTAATCACAGCGGGCTTCAGAGAGAATAAAATGGAGAGGCAGCAAAGGGATTCGAATATTGCTTCTCCGTTTTATTCTCTCTGCTGACAGGCTGGGTCCAGAGACACCGTAGGACTTCATTAACCTGCGCGGCTGAGCGGGAGAAATGGAAGGAGCCACAGGGGGAATGAAAATATTCCAGAAGACTTTAAAACCTTCACATTCGCTGTGATTTTAAGTCGGCCCTGAGACTTCAGGGCTGGCATAGGAGCGGGACTGGCCAAATGTCCCTCACATCCCCCTGACCCCAGGAGCAGAGCTCCTTTCGCCGGGACGCGGGCAGCGTTGACAGGCCGGTACCTAACGGGTTCCCATCCCACAGCTGTTCCTCGCTCCGTATCTCCTCCCTCAGCCCTCAGGGTAGAGGCTCAACCTTCTACTCCCTTTCCCCCGTTTCCCTCTGTCTGTCTCTTTTTTAGCTTTCAGAAAATACTGACACTTTCTACGTTACTTTTGGCCCGCCACAGAGTTTCGGTGACCTTCAAAACTCAGCTCGGAGCAGGACGAGGTTTTGGCCGCATTTTCCGGTGTTGCCTGACCCAAAGCTTCAGGAATGCGATAAGAAAGTTGAGTTCTGAACCGAGCTGCCGATAGTGAGGTCTCTTTAATTAGGGCGTTATCAGAAGTAGGCCTGATTAAAATGTGCTGAAAATAATTGAAAGTTGTACATCTGCTGGAGAACGGGGCCCGCTGGAGGCATCCAGTTGTTGGAGGAGCCCAGCTGGATGAAAGAGGCAGGCAAACAAGAAGAGGAAAATTGGGCAGAGGTTTCAAAGCCTTAGTTTCCTACCCCCCACCCCATCCCATCCCAGACTTGGCAGAAATGTCATCACAGAGCCAAGGTAGCGTCTTTCCCACGGTCGGAGGAACCGCTAAAAAAAAAAAAAAAAAAAAAAAAAAAACAAAAAAAAAAAAAAAAAAAAAAAAAAAAAAAAAAACCAAAAAAAAAAAAAAAAAAAAAAAAAAAAAAAAAGGCAAGCAAACGCCTTTGCCGAGTATCCCCTTGCCATAGGAGCCCTCTGTCTGCGTGCCACCGAAAACAGCTGAGCCCCAGGGCTACACGTGCGGGAGGCAGCCCCGAGCCGAAGGGACCCCCCGGCCCGGGACACGGCCCCTGCTCCCGCCACGGCGCCGTCGCCGGGCTCCTGCCGGGCCGGGATGCCCGGGGCTGTGCGGAGGGCTCGGTGCGCCGGCCCCGGCCCGCACAGGTGCGGCTGTGTGCGGGGTCTGTGCGGTGCCTGCGGTGCCGCAGGCGGAGCACGGCCCGCGGAGCGCCGGGCCCGAGGAGAGCCCGGCGTGGGCTCCGTGTGTTGGGGCGTTAAAGGCTCCGTTTCCCCCCGGGGTGGGGAAAACCGGACGCCAGGACGGCGCGAAGTCGCAGCTATTTTGTCCCTCGCTAATTCGAATTTATCTCCCTCGTCCTTCTCTCCACTTTCTTGTCCTTATTTCCGTCCAGCTATTTGGAATCTCCTCCGATGTCTAAAACCGTTTCGCATGTCTTTCAAAGGTCCCCGTCAGAGTCCCTGTCCCGGCGGGTTCCGGGCCGCTCCCCTCCCGTCCCGCAGCTGGAGCTGGGACCCCGCAGGGCACGCAGCGGCTCCGGGGCCTCGGCAGGGCCGAGCCTCTCCCCAGCTCCAGGGATGCCACCCATTTTCCCAGCCGGGATCGGCAGCACGACCCAGAAGCCCCGCTCTGCTCTTTCCTACATCGGAGCCCGGCGCCGGGCGAACCCATGGGGCAGGGGCCGGGGGTCGAAGGCAGCAGCGGGACCACGACCCGGCACTGCCCGGGGGAGGTCCGCGCTGAACAACCCCTGCCCCTCGCTGCAAGCATCGCCCGGGCCTCGGCCACACCTCGGCGGCCAGCACCGAGCGCGTCCGCCGGCGCCGGCCTCGGCCTCTGCTCTGCCCGACGCCCTGCAGCCCGAATCGCCCGGGCCCTTCCCGGGACGGTCTGTCCCAGCCGCTCTGTGGGTTTGCCCCCGCGGGGCACAGCAATCCCGAGCTGCGGGCTAGGTGCGGGGAACCCCATCCTAAAAGCAGAGAGACCCCGGCCACTCATCCCGCTCCGGCAGGGCCACGCACACTCCGCCGATTCCCCGTCCCCCGAGCCGCGGCGCCCCGGCTGCCCGACTCCCCTCGGTGCCTCGCCCGGGGCCGGGCAGTGCGGGGCAAACCCCGGCACACCACCACTCCGGGGCCAGCTGAAGGAGGGGGAATGAGACCCGAAATGTCTCATGCGATCTCTTCGCACGCTGGGCCCTTTTCCTTTCTTCCTCCCGTTCGCGCCCGCAAATGTTTATACTGCAGGAGCTGGAAGAAAAAGGATTTAGATGCTGACCCGGCGCCACACGCGGCTGACCCATTGCCCGGCCGTTCAACCCTCGGGAGCCTCTCAGGACGGTGCGAACACCGGGGACCGCAGGGAGTTGCGGCGCAGCCGGTCCCGGCCGCGGAGATGCAGACAAGAAACGCCGAGTCGCCCCTGCTTGTGCATTCCACCCGGGAATACTCAGCCCTCCCGAGGTTCGTTCGAAAAGGGGCTTGAAAACACCAGCGTGCGGACAGCCCTTTTCGGATTCTGGAGGGAGTTTGGAGGTTCACCCCCGCCACCACCCCATCACCCCCGAGATATGCAGAGGGAATTGTCTCGGGCCACGGGCTCCAGCTCCATTCCAGGACTTGTGTCGTCTCCGGCCCGAACAAACCTTTGCGAAGGCGAGAGGCTGCTCCAACCCGGGAAGGGGGCCGGGGGGCTCCAGCCCGCCTGGCAGAGCCGCCCGCTGCATCCGCTGCCCCACAGGAGGGGTGGGGGCCGAGCAACTCGTGGCTCCTAAAGCTCCCGGGTGCGACGCGGCTGCCGCACAGGGAGGGAAGGGAGGCACGGCAGGGCTGGCTCGCCTAACCCGGCCCGGCCGCCGCGGAGAAGGACCGGCCTCGGTGTTTACATCAGGCGCGGCCCTGCCGGGCTGAGCGGGCGCCTCCGGGGGCCGCCCCCCGAGCCCGGGGCGCCCGGCAGCGCGGCCCTTACCCTGGTTGCGGATGGCTTGCTGGCTCTCCAAGCAGTTGGGCAGGTAGGGCCCGTTGGGGAACATCCGAGCCTGGCCCGAGGGCGGCTGGCTGGGCGGCGGGGCGCCGAAGGGCCCGTAGCGGCAAGCCCCGGCCGTGCCCGTGAACTGGCCGGAGAAGTGGACGGTGAAGGCGCTCAGGTACTGCTCCTCGTGCGGGTCCGATCCGTTCCAGCTCGGCTCCTGCTTGATGAAGGAGTGCGGCCCCAGCGAGCCGTAGGAGGCCCCCGGGGGAAAGTCCAGGACGGGCGCCCACTGCGCCGCGCTGCTCACCGGCATGGTGCAGTTGCTGTTGCCCGGCAGGGAGGGCACGGAGGGCAGCAGCGCGTTGAGGTCTCGGACGTCGGAGCCCATCTGCTCGCAGACCTTTTGCCTGCCGCCGGGCAGCCAGTCTCCCCCCGGGCCGCACTTGTTCCAAGACACCTGGCCCCTGCCCGCCAAGCCGGAGGCCGGCTCCGGCTGCAGGCACCAGGCCGGCGAGCTCAGCCCTTTGGGGGAAGTTTGCTCCGCGACGCAGCTCCCCGGGTCCAGCCCTGCGGGAGCCGGCAGCAGCGACAGGGCAAGGTTGTTCTCCAGGATCGCCTCCGGGTTTGCACCCGCTCGCAGCGCAGGGCAGGGTGCGGTGTGCGTGCCTGTGTGTCCGCGCGTGTGTCTGTCTGTACGGATGTCCGCCTGTCCGAGCTAGGGGGGCACAGCCGCCGCGCACGCCTCACCTCGGATGCCTGCTCAACCCTCAACTTTGCAAAGCTCAAATAGAGGCGCTTGCAGGGGAGGAGGAGTCAGCCACGCCGATCCTCCATTCACACAACCTCCGCCGAGGGGCTGCCCACAGCCCGCTCTGCTGAACCCAGCCGGACCAGACGCGCGGGGGGAGGGGAGACACAGGAGAGCCGGGGATGGAGGGGGAGAGGTGACTGTGGGAGAATATATCTCCCCTACACATCACTCCCACCCTTCTGCTGGTGCAAGCGCCACTAAATCTCACCCTAACGTTCCTCCGCTTTAGGAGAGACTTGCGGGACTTGTTAGAGGGATCCAGGTGGCCAGTAAGTACGTGCTGGCTGACTTCCCCCGCCAGCTCCGTGCATGTCCGTGGGGATTCCCGAGGGCGGCGAGGTCGCAGGCCCAGGGGACCGCGCGGAGAAGCCTCCGCCCTTGCAGGAACCAGGGGAAGTGACACGACCCGGCCCGGGCGGACCCCATTTCTGAGAGGAGAAAGTGTCTTTCCAGGTGCCTTTCCCGCTACGGGAGGATCCTGCGTTTCCATGAGCTCCTGCGGGGTGCGAGCTGCCTGCCCGGCCCCCCCGCACCCCTCCCTGTCCCTGGGGGCGCAGGGCCGCGGCACGTCGCCAGGGCTGGCCGGGCCGGGGTACCGAGGGCTCCGCCGGCCAGGAGAGGGCTGGGAGCCCTTTGCACCGGCCCCGGGGCCGGCGTGAGCCCGGCCCTAGCCCGGTGCCTCGGACCTGCCTGTGTGCGAGGGGAAGGAAGCAGCTGGGCGGGCGGGGGAGGACAGCAGCGCTGTGAGTAACCTGCTGTTGAGAGATTCACCTGGCACTGCTCCCGGGAAGGCCCGGAGTCCCTCTTTGCTCTCCAGCCTCCTGGACAGCGGCTCCTCAGCGTCCATCCCGGGGGCGGCGGCCGGAGGACCCCCAAAGGCACCCGACTCGTTATCCCCGGGCTGTCCTTCCTGCCGAGAAACACGGCAGGACTCGTGTCGGCCCCGGCCCCGAGGGGTGCCGTGATTCTGGCGGTGCGGGAGCCCACCTAGAGCGACTGCCCAGGCAGGAAGCGCCGGGGCGGGCGGCAGAGCCCCGCGGTACCTGCCGCGGGCAGGACGCGCTCTCTCCAAAGGCGGGGAGGGGAATCCTGCCGCCCTCCCGCATAACTACGGATGGATAACCACCCGGGGGTGGGGGGTGCCGCTTTCACGGGCAGCCGTGGGGCAGCTGCCGGCTCAGGGTACTCGCGGAGCACGCGGGGTCGCACCGGCCCCGCCGCCCTGTCCCTTGTCACCGGCCGCTGTTAGAACCGTGGCACCGCCAAGCGGGGTCGCCGCCCGGCGACACCCCCGCGGCCTCAGCCCTCAGCCTCACCCTCCTTTGCGGCGACAGCAGCGACAGAGGCGCCGCGAAGGCTCACCTGCCGCAGGACACGCCGAGCCCCTTGTCCGCCCGGTGACAGCGCGCACCTCGGGATTTCCTTTCCCTCGCGGCATCAAAGGTTACCGCAAGCATCGTCAACGTTGAAGAGGTGTTTTAAGATTCAAAGGGTCAAGGCTACAACAATAGAAATTAAAATAGGTCCTTATTGGAGCAGCCAAGTATAATTTCATTTTCTCTTAAAACTTATTAGCCATAACGTTCGGTTTTTGTTATTAGTGAAATTGTTTTTTTTTCGCAAACTATTTCAGGTAATTCCCTTTAAAAATTTCTCTTTTGGCACATACATCTATTTATTACAAAAATCCACGTATAGCGTAAGTGCGAAAGATTAGTTCATTATTTTCGCTGATATTAAATATCCTCTAAGTTTACAGGACGCGCCACCTCAGAGCCCACGGCAAACTAAAGCACACTGGACGGCACTTGTGAATGCAGCCCGTGCGGGGAAATCGCGCTGACCTTGCTGCCCGCGGGCTCCGGCGCTGCCTCCCGCTCTGCCTCCCGCTCTGGCCGCACCGGGGCTCCCGCACACCGCGGTCACCCCTGCCCGGGACCCGCGGGGAGCTGCGGGATCGGCACAGGGGCTGCTGCTGGCTTTGCTCGTTTCTGTGACGGACCGATACACGAGGTTGGTTGAACTGGGTACCTTAAAGGTCTTTCACAACCTAAACGATTTTATGATCTCCAGTTCTGCGATGGACATCGTACATATAGGAATGGAATTCTTTGGCCAGCCTAAGCGGGGTATTTGATTTCGCATGAAAACTAGCGCTCTCTAGGAGCTAGCAGAAAATACGTTTCCCGTAGTGGGCTGTTTTTCGAGCTAGCACGGGGGTTTTGTCTTTTCTTGAAATAACCTAGCTTGATAAATCATCTTAAAAGGGAAAGAAAGGTTTACTTGATCGCTTAACTCTGCATTACTCTACCTGGAAGAACTGCCGAAGTCTGTCCAAACCTTCTCCCTCGCACCCTCCAGCAGTGAAACAAGACGACCCCTTGGCCATTAGCGCATCCTTCCTCCCCGCAGTTGCTGGAGAGGCTGGGGAGAGTCAGGAGCTGCCAGCACAGCTCAGCTCAGCTGAGCTCAGCACAGCACAGCACAGCTCAGCTCAGCTCAGCTCAGCTCAGCTCAGCTCAGCTCAGCTCAGCTCAGCTCAGCCCTGTGCTGCACCTGCGCTCTCCCGGGCCGCCTCAGCCGTGCGGGACACGGAGCGCGCCCACCTCGAACGCGTCCGGGGGCGTCCCGGGGCAGGAAAGCCCGGACCCTTCCGTCTCGGGATGGGCTGAGGATTTTTGGGAGACGGCCAGTGCCACTTTGCCTAGTTGTTTCCGTCTAGCCAGCGCCAGGGAAAGAGAGAAACCTCCAACACAGGCCGGGAACGCTGGCAGCAGCTCCCCCTGAGGAATGCTGAGAGGAGCTGCTCCTTCTTTGAAGGAGACTTTTGCCCACCTCTTCCCCAGAGATCCCGACCCCGCTTCCAGACAAATTCCGGCATAAATCGTTCCAGGTCTCGCACACCGGGCGCCCGCGTGTGGGTTTGGGTGCCCAGTTGAACGCGATGGCCGAGGAGACAGGGAGATGTTCAGGGACAGCATCTCCTTTGTCGGTTTCCAGACCCAGGCGGTGCGGAACATTTTGCCCTGTCCCCTCCGAATACGGCCCGATCCAAAACTCTGACAGGCTTCATTGCCCGCTGTTCCATAGCTAGGGCAATTCCTGATAACGCTCAGTCTTCGATTGTGCTCGAAGGCATACTCTGCCAGGTTAAACAATAGCTGGAGGAGGATTATTCTAGCGAGTCCCACTCGAACACGAGAACAACAGGCTCGGGAAGCTGCTTCAACCTGAGCACCGCTGCCGCACCTCCCCAGCCGAAATTTTACCTCTGCCATGCTAACCAATTAAGGAATGGACCGATAATTCTTACGAAACTCCTAAAACGATCCCCCCACGTTTCGGAGGTGGGCGAGACTGACTGAACCAGAGATAAATCTCCAGCCCTTCCCCTCCTGCTCACGCCGCTCACAGCACGCAGGGGATCTGTCTCCTTTCACTCAGGGAGCTGATCAGAGTTTGATTATTTAAGCGCTAAGAGCAGCAGAAACAAAGCTGAGAAGCGTCTCCAGGAGCGCAGAGGGCACAGGGGCAGGAATTCATCGCGGCGGGCCCAATCTCTCATTTCTCGCTGCCGAGAGCTGCGAGCACCACGGGAGCCGGGAGCCGCCGGCAAGGCGGGACCAGCCTTCCGTGTGCGGGCTGACGTGGGCCCGGGAACGCTTTCGTGCTGCCTAGAGGACGTTTGGTTTATCCCCTGAGGGTAGAAAAGTTGTTTTTGGTGCACGGAGAAGCAAAGATGCGCGACCCCTCCCCGAAGCAGACGTGAGCGGGGACCCCGCGGGCGGGTGCGGGGATAGCGAGCAGCCCCGCGGGGTCCCGGACATCTGCCGTGGCCCCGGCTCTTGCCCCGCTCCGCCGGGACAGCCTTCCCAGCACCGACCCCGCCGTGCAGCGGCGGCGAGCGGCGGGCCGGGCCCGGCCGGCGGGGCTCGGGCCATTATTGTACCGTAAATCTTGGAAACGCTGGAACTAATTACGGAGAGGATATGTCTCAATTTGTTCCGCATTAGTGCCGCGCCGGGACGCAGGCACCGAGCACGGGAAATTGATGGGCCCGGGCCCGCCGGGACGGCGGCCCTGACCCCGCGTTCAACCCGCGGGGCGGCCCCGCTCCGCCTGTCCCGCACCTGCGGGGCCCCGCGCCCAGCCCGGCCCCGGGCGGTGCCCGCTGCAGCGCCGAGGCTGCGGCCGGGAGCGAGGTACCACGCGGGCTCCGGGAGATTTATTAGCGCGCTGCTAGGACGAGGCTCGGTATAAATCACCGAGCTGTATAGAGCCATAAAGCATCCCTGAGCGTCTCGCCCTCGCCGGGATTCTGGTGAATAGGAGTTCATGGAAAGCTGGGTATCAGTAACATCTTTCAGATCTGGAGTATGTGACGTTTTTAAAGTCTTAGACTTACAATGGGATATACTTATGGAGCAGCTAGAAGTATTACATAGAATTTTTATAGGTGTTTTGTACTTACACACAAAAGAAATTTTGGAGAAAAAAGCTCTTGGGTAATACGCTGAGTTCTTGGCATTACAGCTAATGGCTTTGAAAGTAATAGAATTATTATTTCAGCAGGAGAA